GGTCCAAGCGCGCCCAGATCTGTGCAAATAAGAACGCTCACCTGGCACAAGAGGCGCGCGATCCACTGGGTGGATTAGAGCCCTTTCGTCCTAGCTTTCTTTGTCCCAAAGCCCTGGATCCGTGTCTTGTGTCGTTTGGGGTGTCAGCCTTGTGGGCTGCCCGTGCCTTGCAGCTTGAGGCTCAGATTTCGAATTCCAGATGCTTGAAGGTTGCAAGCTCTGGGAAAAGGCCTGAACTTCAGTACGCTTTTCAATTGACACCTTCGAGGCTTTTTTTGCATACTTCAGACTAAGCAAGCCTCAGGTATGGGGGAGGATGCGCGTGCCTCACCAGCACCAAACTTCTTGAGGCCGTCAATGCGCTCTGGGAACGTCACGCCTGCGCGACATTGAAGCTTTGCCCTGTTGGTAGTCGGGCATCTTCGGCAGCATCGGCTTGCAACTTTCCAATTGCATGTCTGGCCGCACCAGAACATACTTCTATGTAGCAACTGCAAATCAGGGGAAATCCTGCCTGCGTGCACGCAGGCAACTTCGATGTTGGCAGACTTACATGCCTGGGCTGCTGTCCATACCAGGGAGTTTGCTAATGAACTTGTGGTGGACAGAGACACATCGATGCTTGCGTGAATGCCAAACAGTGCTCGCTACATGTCAGGTACGGGCACAACGTGCTGAGTCGAGCACCATCTCAAAAGAAAGACAGGCCTCTACAGGAACATGAGAATCTGCATGTATTCCAAGCTGTCCAGCTCGCTGCAGCCCTGTTCACCCTACTAAGCTTAAAAAACACCTAAGCCTAAGCCCTCAACTCCACAACGTGCGCACCCATGCGGCCCGATTCGCTGCCTCTGGAGTATTTGCAAACACGATCGTTCGCACTTCTGGCCCCTGCCAGCAGATGTCTTTCTTTGGTGTAGGGTTGTCGGGTCGCTTCGTCAAGTGAATTTGCTGCTGACGCGTCATCCCAGATTGCAGGCCATGTCCCTGAATTCACGGTTTCGCTACGCTTCGCTGAGCCTGCTTCTCCAAGATCTCGAGCGCCTTCTGAATACGAAGCTGCAAGTTCACTTTTCCTGGAGCACAAGAGCAAGCCTCTTGGCAAATACACCTTGCTCAACAGAGGCACAGCCTTGCTTGTCTCTGACAGGTGCTGCTACTAAGGTTTGGGTTCAGGATGCCGCCACAGACTCGTCCGAACTCCCCTTGTACTTTCACCAGCTCAAAGGGTTTAGGGTTTAAGGTTGAGGGGTCTATAGCCCTTTGGTTTAGTCGTTCAGGGTTTCGGGCTCCATGGGTGCAGGACACAGACAAGACAGTTTCCGGCCTGTTCCTTTCTTGCCACCTTGGCATTTTCTCGGGTGCTGGGGCACACAAGGTGAAGAACAACGTAGCGTAGTTTCAATTGACAGGAGTGGCGAGGCTGATAAGTACCCACACGCCTCTGTTCAAGGTCTTTCCAAAACCAAACCGAACATTCCCTGACTCCATGTGAGTCGGGAGACGAAGGATGCACAAAGCAAGTTGGACCTGTCTGCTTGCATTGCGCGGCCACTGTGGTGTCTGCGGTGTCTGGTGACACCTACCTCTCACGAAGCACTGAAGGACCCTGTGGTCATTTAAACGGTAACCCTGAAACCCTGTGGGACGCGAAGTGCCAGCTTGTACCGCTAACCCCAAGAAGCCCCGGAAGAGCCCTAAACCCTAAACCCTAAGCCCTAAACCCTACACCCTATACACCCTAAACCCCAAATCTCGGGTGAAGCCAAGCCCATGGTCCCGCACCGTTCTTGCGTGACTCTTCCGGGATGTAGACCCAAGCCTCCGATGGCTTGACGCGGCTTTGGGAACTTTTTAGGTGCATCAAAGGCTGGTGCAGAGCCACGTTTTCAGAGCTAACTTGTAGCCCCTCTCAAGAAATCGAGAATTGCAAGCACGGTGCCCTGCTCGGCCACAAATTGTTTGGGTCGTGACTTATCTACATTACGGCAGCTTTCGGGATCCTGGTCAAAAAAGGGTCGCGGTGAATAAGGAGCCGCGGCAATTTACTAGATGCGGTTTCGGCGCATGAAAATTACCATGAACGACATGGGAATTTGCTGCAGCACCTTATAGTGCTACATTTACAAGCATAGTATAAGCCGTATAAGCCCTAAACTATATGCCAGGATGCCTCAGCTAGGGCTTCTGGCCATGCCGAGCAGCCTAAACCCGCTCAATGAAATGAGCTGCTGAGTTTTGACAGCGTTGCAGGTCCAAGCGTTCAATCTGTGCGTTGCGGCTGGGTGGGGGGGGGGGGAGTGGGGGCGCTCTTGGATGCGAGCCTCCCGCTGAATGCCAGGATGCCGGCGATGTAGCCAAGGGCTCCTCTAGGCTTCAGCTTTGTGAGGATGTGTTGATCTATGAGAAGGACGATTCTGGGCAGCTTGTGTTGCGTTTGTTTCAAGATCTTTAGGGGATGATCTTGGCGTCTAATTCTTCAATGTAGGCTCCTGTAGATTGTGTCGGACACATAGGCTTGGGAGAAGGGCTACACATGTCGTGCCTGTGCACCAGCTCGGCGCGACCTCCTCAAGCTGAGTGAACTAAGGTTGACTATTGTGGTTGCGGTGCGGATTTTCAAGCTCGACCGGGTCTGGGCGAGCATCGCTAAGCGTGTGCAGATGAAGGCTTTTCTTGGGTGTGTCATGTAAAGCCCTTGCTTATGCAGCTTGTGCCCTCCACGCCAAAGGAACAAGCCGCAACCCCTTCGCGTAAAGCCCGACCTGCCCTAACCCCGAATCCATAAACCCTAAATCCCCGAAGCCCGAAACCCAACCCAAAGGCTGATCTGCCTGACTCCTTGAAGCCGGAACTCCTTGACCCTAAAATTAAACCCTATACACCCTCTTGAACCCTTGGAGCTCCCGAGCCCTTCTATGCTCCCCCCCTCCCAACAAAAGAGAACGAAAACACACACAAACACACAGAGACACAGGCACACAGAGACAAGCACCCAGAAACTCACACACACAGAGACACACAGACACACAGAAGCACACGCACACACAAACACACACTTGCTCACAGGACGAATCCTGTTAGTTCGAGGTTACATTTGATGGTGAGATCAGCTCTTCAAAGTCTGCATGCCCAGTGACCATCGTCGTCATTGGTTTGGCTAGGGCTCAGGCCCCAGATCAGACCACAGGAATGATCGTTGGGATGTGGGTTCTGTCCCTTGCGTCCTTTTCGTGCCAGACACCAGGAATGGCGTATGTACACGTTGTGGGGATGAAGTTCCTGTCCCCGTTGAGGATACCAGCTGCGGACGCAACCACCCAGGTACTCCTCATAGCAGGTACATTTGCACGTCAGCTACTCATGGTCTTCATTGGTCCCAGCATGAGTAGCAGACCTAGGACCCCCTGCTGAAAAGGAATGAAACGAGCTAGCTCTTTGCCATCAGAGTCGCACACACACAGCTCCCCCATTGCGGGGTAGTGGTTACAAAAAGACTGGCCTTTGTCGCGAGGCTCGGCGAGTCAGCGCTCTGCAGCCGCATGCAAAGTGAAACGACAAAGCTTGTGCCCTCCTTGGGGGCTGTCAGGTTCCGCACGCTGCCTCTTAAGCGAATCCACAGTGGCACCACGCAAAGGAAATCAAGTGACCAAAAACCCAGTGAAGTACATCAAGTTAAAGGAATCAAGTGAAAGGAATCAAGTGAGCATGGAAATCGTATCAGCACTTGCATGTGCCTGCGCTTCTTGGACAGGGCTTAGTGGCTGTGGGAAACAATGTCATTCATCAAGTGAATCGAACTGAAGCGTTTCTTGCTCAAGAGTTACATCTGGCACCTTTGACAGAAAGCAAGATGAAGACAAACTTGCTCACCGGACGAATCCTGTTAGTCAGAGGTTACATTTGATGGTGAGATCAGCTCTTCAAATTCTGTATGCTCAGTGACTATCATCGTCATTGTTTGGGCTAGGTTTCAGGCCCAGAGCACAGGAATGATCGTTGGGATGTGGGTTCTGTCCCTTGCGTCCTTTTCGTGACAGACACCAGGAATGGCGTATGTTCTCGTCTGCGAGGTGCAATGCTGACGACAACATGTACACGTTGTGGGGATGAAGTTCCTGTCCCCGTTGAGGATACCAGCTGCGGACGCAACCATCCAGGTACTCCTCATAGCATGTACGTTTGCAGCCGCTTGCACGTCAGCTACTCATGGTCTTCATTGGTCCCAGCATGAGTAGCAGACCTGGGACCCCCTGCTGAAAAGGAATGACATGAGCTAGCTCCTTGCCATGAGAGTGGTACACACACAAAGACAAACAGGACACTCCAATCCAACCACCTTGAAGAACAAGTAATATAAACGAAAACTCGAAACCCCAAATCCAGGGTCCCCGGCTGAATCCTAACCGCGTTTGGGTACCATCGCTTCACTACCTCAGGGCTCGCACCGAGCATTTCAGGGTTCTTTGGAGCTGGGGCTTTAGGCTAGGGTGAAGGCTTTCAAGGCCTCGCTGTGCGGGTTCTAAGATTTAGGGTTGAGGATGTGGGGCTTCAGCACTGCTTGGATTGTTAGGGGCGAGGGGGGGGGGGGGGGGGTAGTCCCCAACGCAACTGGCCGGGTTTGAGGATGTTGTCTTTCCGGCGTGCGTGAGGCGGAATCTCACCCCCAACGGCCCTGAACCCGAATCCCTACAATCATCCCCGGGCGGTCGCTGCACCTTAGCCAGATTTTGCAGTGTTTTTTTGCGCTGGGGGGGCCTTTGGGAAGACGGGGTTTAGGCTTTTGGAGCTTTGGATTTTGTCAGGCGCATACGAAGTGAACCCGTTTTACGGCACAGCTCAGGGGCGCCCCAAAGACCAAACGTATGCATGCGGTAATTCCAGAGCGGCTGGCCTCTGATCCGGTTGAGGTGATCAAGAATCGCCCCAATTAAGCCCAAAACTCTAAAGTAAACCCTGGACCTCTCGTAGTTTTCATTTCTTGATTTTGGGTGCCCAACCCAGTCGACACTGCCGATGCCACTGTTGTAGAACCTCAGCAGGCATCAAAGCGGCCAAGACGACGAGGTTCAGTGCTTTTGGGGGCTGAGGCCTGCAAGAGTTCGGGTCTGGCTTGCTATTTCTGCGCGTGTGCAAAGCCGTGCTGCTGCCACATGTCTGGAGAAGCTGTGCTTCAGAAGGTCCCGGTCGATCTTGACGTTGCCGTGACCACCGAGCTTGTCATTGCTAAAAGGTTGTTACAAGGCTCCAAAGTCTATGTTTACCCTTCGGGTTCTGGGTTTTTAAGTCGAAGGCCGGACTTGGCCAGAGTGCGGAGCCCATGACATCATGAAGCTGCTGAGGAGAGGGCCTGTTGTCCTGCATGTCGGCACGGCTCCCGACGATGACGCGGCCCCTGGCGGTGCAAGCTGTAGGCGACCGATTGTTTAGGGTGGGTTGCTTTTTATGAAACAGAAGATGAGCTAAGCAACAAGGACACCATCTTAAGACGAGTTCCCTAGCGCCCCAGTAGGTCTCTTCTGTTGAGGCCTAAAGCATTCACGCATTCAACCATGACAACATGTTCGGGCCTGGAGTAGCTTGGCAACGTGGCGCAAGAAGCTACGAAACGAGGTCCGTTCTCAATGAGGAGGCCAATACCCGGCCTAGGGAGTCTCAGGTGAGGCTCGGGGATTCGGAGGTTAGGGCGTGTGGGGTTGAGGGGCTTTTGGTATCGGGGCCAGGGAGTCGCGGTTCTGGGTAGAGGTCGGGGGGTTGCTTGGGGAAGCTGGGAAAGGCTCACGGGGCATCGGCCCTGTTCGGAGTGATCATACATCATACCCCGAATCCCCAAAAGCCGGAAACAACCGGAGGCGGCTGAGGAAGTACGGTCGACTAATCCCTAGAATTTGTTCATAGTCAACCCGGAAACCCAAGCGGATAGGGTTGCTAGAACCGTTTAGGAGTAGGGGGCAGCTGGGCTAGGAGAAAGGCACCTTGAATCTGGACCCTGGCAACCAAGACTGAGCCAGAGCTTTGATGTCTAAAGATTCTGCGGTCCTAAACCCTGAAAGCCCAAATCCCTAAACCCTAAACCAGATTCCTTAAGCCCACGCCCCGTAAGCTTTCCACGCATCACCTTGCTCCCTAATCCCAAGACCGCACTGCCGTGTTGCAAGTGAGCGTTCCGGGCTTAGGGTTTCGGATTAAGGGTTTTGGGTAACCCGGCTTCAGACTGTAGGATGCACTCCAAGCCCCCAAAAAACTGAAACACAAACCCTAAACCCTGAAAACTGAAATGCAAACAGGGCCCACCTTGGAACCCTGAGCACCTGGCCCCCGAAGGAGCCGCCGACGTATGGCTGTCGCCACTTTTCCATTCTCGAACCTGCATGCCGAAGTGCTCTGGGTTTAGGGTTTAGGGTTTAGGGTTTAGGGCTTAGGGTTTTGGAGCCAAGAAAGCAAAAACCCAAAGCCCAAGTCCTTGAAGCAGCTTCACACCAGGATGCAAGATGTAGGCCCTGCTATGATCAGTCTCAGCAGTAAGAGCTCGATGCCCCAATCCCAAACCCTCAACACTAAACCTGTCGCAGCCTTCGGGGATTTAAGCAGATCGACCCAGCCTGCCCACCTCACTAAAGTCACTACAGGCACAAACCTCCTTCCCAAAGGGCAACAGATGCTTCAACTGCATAACCCCCGACCCTAAACCCTGAACCTCCCATCTGGTTTAAGGGCTGTGGGCTGACTTACGAAGCAACGCGTCAGAAGTGCGCAGATTTGGAGCGATTGCCAGGCTCCTGTGAACACCTTATCACCCCTTGGAACCCCCAAGCCCAAGAGTGAATGCTAAGCCTTCACCCGCTTCATGACTGACGCGTTTATTCGGATGCTTTGTGCGAATTTTGAGATGGGCATAGGATTTGGGGTTTAGAGTTCAGGGCCGAACTTCCAAGATGTGCCAGTCATGCCCTTGCCCCGCCTCACTTTGAAGGTGCCATCTGGGTTGTGCCATGCCATGCCAGGCAACCAATCCATGCCTCGCTTGTCCGAGCTGTTGAGCTGCCCTGTAAACCCTAACACTGGCGTTGCAGTAGTCATTCCCGTAGCTGTCCAAGCTATGGGTAAAGGAGCCCTGGACCCTAAATCACTAACCCCTTCGAGGGGTTTCGGGATTAAGGGCTTGAAGCCCTTAAGCCCTTGAACCCATAAACAGTTTGGTTAGAAGGGTGAAGGCTTCAGGCAACGAAGCCACAGGCGCCCTGGGCAAGGAGTTGTGCAGTTACGCTTGGGGTCTGAGGGTTTTCCTCTTGCATAACAGCTCGGTGCGTGTGGTACAGCTGAAAGCCCACTTGGGACATGACCGGCCCAAACCCTCTCATATCACGTACGTCTCTTCAGGGTGTGGAGGCTTGTGGCTCTTGGATGCCAATCTCCCTTCCCAAGTCCCTGAAGCCCAAAAGCCACAAGCACCCAATCATGCCGTCTCGGGCACCTGTGTACCCAGACTCGGGGCTTGCTTGCGTGGCTCGGGGCTTCGGGTTCTGGTATGTTGGGTTAAGGGTTTACCCAGGCAAATATTTGCGCTTTTCATAAACATCTTCGAAGCAGAATCTGCTTGCCGCTTTGGGCATCGCACTTCACACCTCCTGCTAAGCAAGCTACTTGGTTCCACTGACGCTACTATTTTTTGTTATGAAGCTTCAGTGCGCAAAACTAGAAGGAATGCACCGCGGCAAGTTTTCCAACACATGGTCCCTTCGGTGGCCTCAATCTAAGGCTTCCTGATCAAATGATAGCAAGAAACCCACTTTAAGGAACTTTGTGTGCGACGTACGTTCGCTTCTTCGAATCGTCCCACTAGTTTCGCGTCTGTGTCTTGCTTGGCTGCGCAGGTCACTAAACTCAGCGTTGCCAGCGATGAGTGGTGATGTTCCTCAGGATCTAGCTTCTGCAAGTTGCAATCGGACATGGCACTGAGACATGCAGGTTGATGTTGTGGGCCACTGCATGTTCAATACCTGACATGTTCAAGGATTGCTGGTCGAGCACAGGGCGCGTGTGTGTGTGTGTGTGTGTGTGTGTGTGTGTGTGTGTGTGTGTGTGTGTGTGTGTGTGTGTGTGTGTGTGTGTGTGTGTGTGTGTGTGTGTGTGTGTGTGTGGGTGTGTGGGTGTAAGCTGAGTCTGCTGCAAGTGTCGAGGACTGCGAACATTAAACCGCATCACTGTGGACAACTGTGGCAAAGCTATGAACGACTGCAGCTACAGGAAAGTCTCGAGACCTTATCGCCGAGCTTACTTGTCCAGTCTCCGACCGGGAAGCCAACCTGGGTGACGGGATAAGGCTATAAACCCTAAACCCTAAACCCAAAACCCTAAACATGCAAAAGTTTCTTGTTCGACTACTCAGCGGACAGCGGACGCTGCAAGGACCGGTGCAGGCCGAAGCGTCTCCAGGGAGGACACAACGACACGCTCACCGCGATGTCCGGCAGGCGGGCTGTCGACAAGCCACGTCATGGGAACGAGGTTAGGTCGGTTAAGGTTTTTGCGTCTGAAGTGCTAAGGTTTCGATGGTTTAAGATGTGGGGCGCTGCTTTCAAGGGGTCCGGGCTCCAGGCTTTAGGATGTGGCAGATGCTAAAGCCGCAAACCGCTGGAAGCCATAAACCCTTCAACCTCAACAAGGCCCTGGGCCTTATAATGTAACAAGAAGCTCTCAGTTCTGGTTCGGGAAAGTTCGGGAGGCCCTTCTGGGTTTAGAGGGCTTTTGGGTTTGAGGGCTTTTGGGTTTGAGGGCTGTTGGGTTTGAGGGGGTTCGGAGCTCCTGTGCATCTGCAGTCAGGCCTCATTGAAGAAGCGATTGTGTCAAACAGACAGCCGGCGGTGATGGCCACACCTCAGGGCACCCGAACTTCATAAACCTAACACTTCCTTCCCCTAAGCCCTTTACCCCTAACATCCACTTAACCCCCAAATACAGAACCCCGAACCACGACCGAACTCACCAAAACCTAAGCGCCTTACAGCCAACGGCCTGCGGCTCAACCCCTGACACTTGTGGGATTTAGGGCTTGGGTTTCGAGATGATGTTGAGACAGCTCTGATTCCTGTGAGGGGCGCTGAGGATTGGGGCGCTGGGGCTCTGGGGCTCTGCAGCATCAGGGAGGTGGCGCGCTGGAGCGCTGGGCGGAGGGCTAATCTTGCTGGGCAGTCCAACACACAGCCGTTCCAGGCACAACCAACCGAGTCGCGGATGCGCATAACGTGCCCGACAAGTTTCCAACAGGGCCGCCTCCCAAAAACACAAAGCTCCGACTTCCAATCCCCTCGTCGCCCCGCCCACACCCTCCCATCACACGACCTCCCCACTGCACCCTGACACAACCCTTGCCATGGGTGCAAGTAGTTCCACAGAAAAAAAGTACGGGCACAGGAGGTTTGGCTGATGCCAGATTGTCGAGCTACATCAAACAAGTGGTTTCTTGAGAGGGAATGATGAGGGAGTCTGCGGGCTGACTGGTGCCCCTTCTAATACCCAAAAGCTATAGTAACCTATCACTTCTGACTGCTTTGCTCGGCACCAGAACAAGAAACGCTCACAGAATGTTATCTTCCTGACGCCGACGCGCCCTTGAGATCTGAGGTCCACGCCGAGAGCCATGATGAACATGGCGCCCAAATTGTCCAGGCTGAAGATGTCGCGGCCAAACTGTGACCCAGGTTCACATACAGACACACACACAGAGACAAGCCTAACGTCATGATGATGCAAGGATCATCTCTGAAGCATCGCTCTTGTAACTCTCGTAAGTTCCGAACAATAGCCTTAAGCCTCAAACCTCAAAACGGACTACATTGTAGTCCTTCCTACGGGTTTGGGGTTTAGGGTCCTGAGCCCTCAACCTAAGTCGCTTCCAGGCTCAGTTGCCAGCCCGACGCTTTATATCGGGTCTCGGGTCCCGCGGAAGCGGTTGCAGGGCCTGTCTCCGTGCCATTTCGATATGAAAGAGCCTCGGGACGAGTTGCACTCATTGCCGCAAGATGTTGAGGACATGGGGCAAGTAGTGCTTCGGAGTTCGCTTAGATTGGTTGGGCCCGTCAACAACACCCAGGCCCTAGGCCCGTAGATCCCATAGCCAACCCCCAGAAATAACACTCAAGAAATCTTTCCACCCCTTTGCAAGCCTTGCTACCCCCCCCCCCCCTCTCTTTTTTGGGCCCATTCCCTCAAGACCCATACCTGCTACTACAGTCACAACCCTCAAGCCACTCTCTAAACCCCAAAAACCCCCGGAAAACCCTACATCCCTAATCCCCTCAACCCCTAAACCCCTTCACAGACTTCACGCCCAAACATCAATCATGACATCACTCGGTCCAGGGGCGGAGGGAGCAGAAGCGCGAGCGGCGAAGCGCCAAGTGCGCCCAGGACTCGTAGTTGACGACCCAGGTCCTGGCTTCAGGAAAGTGTAGGGTTTCTAGGGGTTAGCGGGCTTATCTTGTGCTCAGAGTTTTTTTTTTTTTTTTTTTGGGGGGGGGGGGGGGGTTTTGGTTGTTCGTCTAGGGTGGTGTGAGGAGTTTCGAGGTCTAGGAAGCTTGGAGTTTGGGCTTTAGGGTGGCTCGGTGGAGGGTTCAGAATGTTCCTGGTGGGGCATTTGACCTTCGGTCTTCCAGGGTCCAGGGTCCTTGATGGCTTTGATGACAGCTGGGGATGCTTATGCCTTCTTGGAGGTCTAAGGTTCAGGCAGGGTTCTGGGCTCGGTATCGGAGTCATTGCAGGAAGCCTCGAGGCTTGGGGACTCAGGACGGTCGGGCTTGTAGGATTTCAGGGTTTAAGGGTTTACATAAAGCTTCAACGAACACCGGACTGCTGTGGCTCGACAGACTGTGAACATCTGACAGCAAGCCCTTCGCCGCCTCTTGAAGCCATGTGAGAAGTGCGCACAACGACCTCGCACACAGCTTGGCACCACAGGACGTGTCTCACCCTCAAGGCACTGTGCAGCTCTAGCTTGCTCATTCAGGCCAAACCGAGAGTACAGCCTGCGTGCACGTGAAACGAGAAACTTCTATTGCCACGAGCTAAGCCCCTTGTACAATACTCCCCGGTACCGCATCCTGCACTTGGGTGTGGTTGCAAGGTCTGCTTCTGAGCCGAATACAGCACTATGGCCCCACGATGCTGCGAAGCTCTCTGCGCTGCACCTGTTGCGGAGACGTAGGCTGTGGACTGGACATAAATGATAGAGAAGTGGACAGCATCTGACAAAGGACTTATGCTCTCAGGCCTGGTGCACTTCTTCGCGTGCCCAGAAGTTCTTGGATGGTGGCCAAACCTTCGCTTACATGGGAATTGTTCTAGAATACGGACTCCTTCTTGATGCTTTTCGTTTAGGAGTTTAGGTGCTTGCAAAGAGCCACCCCAAGAAAAGGGGACCTCATCAACCCCCTTCTAGCACGGCAACCCCCTTCTAGCACGGCATGGGAAGCTTTTTGGAAGAACGGCAGCTCGCTAGGGTCTGCACATGTGGGGCATCCCCTGCGCGATTACCATGGCCCTTAGAGCTTCCAAAGCATCTTCTTCGATTCCCCGATGCCTCAGATGTTCGAAAACGATTCAGCGCCAAACACTCCTGAGCCTCTGAACCCTTACTCCTAGGCCCCTAAACCAAGAAACGCATTTTCCACTTGTCTTGGAACATCTTGAAGAATAAAATAGAATTTGTTGATGGAAGTATGGCTCCTGCCGAAAATAGGCAGCTTGCGTAACGGTCTAGTAAGCCGCTACATACCCCGGAACCTTTCGCCGCAGAGGTACATATCTCGAGACAGCAAGGGATATGGCTTGGGGTTGAGGAGCTCTTCAGCATCGAATTTTTGAATGAACTTCATTAAAGAGCTCAGAATTCTGGGTTGGGGCCAAGTTAGGGTTCAAATTTCCGGCCCAAGGGGCAGGGCTTTGATGCCAGAGCCACGCCGCCGACTAGCCTGGGGTCGGGCTTGCCGGCTCTCGCTTCGGGTATAGGTTGGGAGGTTTCCCCTTAATTCTACTAACAGTCCTTACTAGGGGATTGCAATGGGGGGCACGTTTATCCCCATTAAGGACTGCTAGTATCACGGGGAACATCCCAAGCTATAGGGTTCGCGCGTGTTGTGAAAGGCTTCGACTTAGACCTGAGGGTTGCTGGTGCCCAGTAGTGTAGATTAGATGAGGCAGAGATTGCAAAGCTGAGACACCACGAAGGCCTAGAACGCCAGCTGCAACCCTGAACTCCACACACTTTTAAGGGATGCAAACCCAGTAGGACGTCCAACTTCATCTTTCATGAATAGACGTCTAGCGCGAGTCCATGTGGCCATGCTAAATCCTAAAAACAATTGTGAACCCTAAATCGCAACGCAACACCCCCCCGCCCCCGCCGCCGGAGAAACAAAAACATCTGCGCACGCACACACACGACAGTTCAAACATAAAAAACGACCCTTCTTCGCGATGGCACGTGCGGACTGAGGCTCCCACACAACCGCATACGCCTCAGCCGGACGTGTAGACGAGACTACACTTCGTGTCGTTTCGGGGGGGAGGTCTTGGGGCTTCAGGGGCTGAGAGGTTTAGAGGTACTTAGCAATGCATCTTCGAAAAGACACGGACCCGAAAAAAACATGCCTACTGACGACACCAAACCTGAGGCCCCGAAATCTCCTAAACCCTAAACCCTAACTTCACAATCTGGGGCGGTGGCACAGCGCGAGGCCTGGAGAATGACTGCGCCAGGCCCAGTGGCGCCGTGCCAGCTGTCGGGGATGTCCGGTGCTTTTGTTTGAAGGACTTAGGGCCTTATAAGACTTGACTTAGGGCCCCATCGAATCTCTGGTGAAACACAGGGAGGGAGGGAGGGAGGGAGAGAGAGAGAGATTTGAGCTGTCTAGCGCTGTATGGGTGCTTCAGCTGAGGTTGGGCCGAACGTTTGAGAGGTTTTGGGTTTGGGGGTTTAGGAAGGCTGGGGTTCGAACGCAGGACAAAAGGTCCGTTCCTCCATGTGTATGGTTCAGTTTCTACGCACAGTTCTTCAGGATGATAACCCCCAAGAGACTTACAAGCACGACTTCCATAAACGCCCAGTGTAGGGTCTAGGGTTTGGGATGTTCCCCCTTATACTAGCAGTCCTTGATTGGGATTGTAGTAGCCCCTATTAGAATCCCTACTCAAGACTTTTAGTATAAGGGGGAACATGGTCCTCAAGCTGAGAGACAAAAGGGCATGTCGACTGCTGAAGATGTACAGCACATGGAATTTGTTCAACGTTCGGTCCCTACTGTGCAAGATCAAAAAGGAAACAACCTCTCAGCCCATGAGTTTCCAAACATGAGCTTCGCGACCTCGGGCCCTATGTGCCCAGATTAAAAGCGAGTTCCGCCTCTGCAGCACGTCACCCTGAACATCGCGGCCGAAGCGTAGGTACCCAGCCTGTGGAGCCAGGAAGACTTAGGGCTAGCATTTCGGGCTGTGATTTCTAGGGTTTCGGGAACGAAGGACCCCTAAACCCCAAACCCCCACACACTCAACGACAAAACCCCGACCCGCAAATCCCACAAACTCACTTTCCTTCCAAAACTTCCTGGACTCCCATTGCCCAAAGCCTCCTAAACCCGGATACACTCAACCCCCCAAAGCCCGAAAGGCTGAAAAAACAGGAGCTGCCAGGCGACTTCGGTTCCTGAGGCTGCGGCGGAGGCCATCGCCAGGGAGATCGGCGCAGCCTGGGGTCTTTGGCTTTAGATGGAGGAGGTTAGGGGCTTTTTGATCTGTAGGCAAAACGATCTACACATCTACACTAGCAACCGGCTCGCGCTGGTCAGGACTATTGAGGGAGGCACGCTGTGGACTACAGTGACTGCAGCAGGGTTTCCAGCACCTGCGAGCCGACGTTCTGAGGAGCCCACAACCGCAAAAGCCGCGGCAGTATCTGCCTTGGCTCGGACAGCTTGAGTGTGATCGTCACGTAGGCCCGTGCGGTGCCCTAAAGGGCGAGGCCTAAGCGCCTGGCCATCGGCCCACGTTGGAAGTCCTGACATCAGCTTCGAGGGATGGCCTCTCTTTTAGCATCGTGCTCGACACACCAATGGCCCATGTCTGCACCCGAGAATAGAAACGACAACCGCAACAACGATGGGAATCCCCACCTCCTCTGCATCCGCGGAGTCTACGGATGCCGTTTCCTGCTCAATTGAAGCTGGGACCAGCCGAGCACTCGAGTCGTGGAGCAAGTTCAGTCAAGCAGCCAACGATCTGTCCCCGTAGGCATCTCTGTTTGGCTCTCATGTGTGTAGCGTGATTCAGAGTCTAGTTCCGGTCCCGCCTTTCAGGACGGCAGCAAGGGCTGCTTCAGCACCTATTGGGTAGTTACACTCCCTTGTTTTGGGCCCTGAATTGGGTGAACCCTTACATACCCCCCCCCCCCCCCTAAAACCCAACGTCCCATACTTCAGAACCCTTTAAAGAAGGTAAGGGATATGACTTCTCTTGGAGCTGAGGGCCGGCAACGTCACTGACTCACTCACCCAGCCACCCAGCCACCCACCCACTCACTCGCAGACACCTACCCCCACCATTCAGGAGCAGTGTTGCCGCAGGACTATGCATCTTTGACACAACCAAAGACCTCGAACACCTCAAGTGACTCTCAAGTGCACCCTGTTAGTCCCAAGAATCCGCCCGAAACCCGGAAACTTGATGCCTAAACCCTAACAATCCCCGCCCCCCCACAGTTCAAGCCCAGTCCTCGAAGCTCGCGTGCGCCGCAAGCTGTGCGACGAGCACCGCCGCAGTGTCTAGGATCCCTTCATGGGTGTTTTTAGGGTTTAGGGCTTAGGGTCAACCTCAAACTATCTTGCAAGATTGCCAAGACTTAGTCACCATGGTAACGGACTGAAAAGTAAAGCGTGGGTTTTTCCTTCCCTAGCAGCAACCCTTGGGCTCAAAATAGCCTCAAAAACCTTGTTTAATATTGTAACCTGGATTTCGTGGTACAGACTGGACTTCTGGATTTATGAAGTGTGTTTTATCTTTTGTTTTGTCTTTCTTTGCGAAATTTTGCATCTGTGATTTATCTGCTAAACTGAGAAGCACAATAAACCCTAAACCCCAAAACCCAAAACCCTAAACCCACCCTTGGCCTCCTGCTGAGCGCCAGCCGATGTCCAACTCCTCCGAGGCTCCTGGGGCCTTGCGAAGCGGGTTTTGAGGCTTTGTAGGCTTTGTAGGGTTTAAGTAGGGTTTGCTACCCATGAACCGGTGCAAGATGAACCGTTCAATGCCCTTCCCACCTCCGCGGCGCCGGGGAAAGTTTCCTTAGTTGGATCGGCTTTTAACGCTGAAGCCGCAAAAAACACGGGGCGAGCTTGAACCGACACTGTGCCAACACTGCTTGCTGCTGCCCGAGTCGCAACAGCGGCCAGCAATAGCAAGCAGGCCATGAGTGAACATGCCTCAGAAACCCTACCGTGTAGTAGTAGTAGTAGTAGTAGTAGTAGTAGTAGTAGTAGTAGTAGTAGTAGTAGTAGTAGTAGTAGTAGTAGTAGTAGTAGTAGTAGTAGTAGTAGTAGTAGTAGTAGTAGTAGTAGTAGTAGTAGTAGTAGTAGTAGTAGTAGTAGTAGTAGTAGTAGTAGTAGTAGTAGTAGTAGTAGTAGTAGTAGTAGTAGTAGTAGTAGTAGTAGTAGTAGTAGTAGTAGTAGTAGTAGTAGTAGTAGTAGTAGTAGTAGTAGTAGTAGTAGTAGTAGTAGTAGTAGTAGTAGTAGTAGTAGTAGTAGTAGTAGTAGTAGTAGTAGTAGTAGTAGTAGTAGTAGTAGTAGTAGTAGTAGTAGTAGTAGTAGTAGTAGTAGTAGTAGTAGTAGTAGTAGTAGTAGTAGTAGTAGTAGTAGCAGCAGCAGCAGCAGCAGTAGTAGTAGTAGTAGTAGTAGTAGTGGTACTAGTACTAGTACTAGTACTAGTTCTAGTAGTAGTAGCTGTCTTTTCGCCTCGTCGACCCCCGGGGGGGGGCCCTCATCCCGGCCCCGGGGACCTTCCCGGGGTCGATTTTCGAGAGAATTTTCGCTAAGGGTGGGCCGAAGTGACGGGGTCGGATACTCGAGAGGCTCGATTTCCGGTCAGGCCGGACTCCGGCCCGTCGAAAACGCCCCCCCCCTGCCTGTCTTTTCGTCCCGGGCCAAACTCCTCGCCCGGGTCTCTTCGGAGTGACGGGCCCGGATACGCCCCAGAGGCCACACCTTCCAGAAAAAAAAACCTTCGGTGACTTCGAGAAACCCCCCAAAAACCCTGTCTTTTCGCCTCGTCGACCCCCGGGGAGGGGCCCTCATCCCGGCCCCGGGAAGGTCGATTTTCGAGAGAATTTTCACTAAGGGCGGGCCGAAGTGACGGGGTCGGATACTCGAGAGGCTCGATTTCCGGCCAAACCGGATTCCGGCCCGTCGAAAACACCCCCCCCCCCTGCCTGTCTTTTCGTCCCAGGCCAAACTCCTCGCCCGGGTCTCTGCGGAGTGATGGGCCCGGATACGCCCCAGCGGCCACGTTCCGAAAAAAAACCCTTCGGCGACTTCGAAAAACCCCCCAATAAAGCCCGTCTTTTCTCCTCGTCGATCCCCGGGGATTGGCCCTCATCCCGACGCCGGGGACCTCCCGGGGTCGATTTTCGAGAGGATTTTCGCTAAGGGCGGGGCGAAGTGACGGGGTCGGATACTCGAGCCTGAAGCTTCGGTTTCAACAACATCGACCCCAGAAAAAACCTGATGCGATGCTCACTGCAGGCTGACATGTCATGAGCAAACGAAGCAGGCACCGGTCGTTGTTTTAGCGCAGGCGGATCTCCCGCAGGTGTACGTGCTGCCAAGCCTCTTTGGGCTGGAGCTTGCGAAGAAATGTCTGCAAAGGCCCCGCTTCGCTTGTGCAGGGCTTACAATCGTGGGAGTACTCCCCGACGAATGCCTGCCGGTCCCGTTCTTGGCCGTGAACGCGGACCGTTATACTCGTCCCCAGAGGCTTGCCCGGGCGTGCGACCAGGATCGGGTTTTCCGAAACCCGAAAACCCAGCCGCACCCTCAAGTGTTCGTAGACCACCGGGTCGAGGCCACGTGTCCTGAAAAATTGAGAGGCTCGAAGAAATCTAGGCTCTAAGCTCACGATAAGCTCATGAAGGCTGAGTAGCTGACTCAAAGCTGAAGGCTGTAACGACGGAGTTCGCTGCCCTGTTCGGATCCATTCGGGCCTTCTTCAGCTGATTTTTCGACACCTACAGGGGAATGCAGATGCCGGATAAATTATGGTGCAAGTTTGCCGATGCGGCCTTCGGGGCCATCACTCCAAAAGAGACTGTGGCGGAACAAAAGAGTGCGATGCTTGAGAGTTGCGAAGCTCAGGGCGCAGAAATCTAAACCTCTGAGTCAGCCAAGTCCTGGCCCGCCCTACTGGCCCTATTTGCGCATCCTGGGACCCCTGCTGTGAGCAGGGCAAAAACTGCCAACGCTAAGCTCCTTGGCGCGGCCAGGACTACCTCAGCATCGCTCAGCTTTTGAAAGAAGAGCACACTGTGCCACGTAGAGGCGACCCCTGTCTGCAGTTCCAAGTTATTATCCTGCCCCTTAATTGCTCTTCCAGATATCCCTAAACCCTAAACCCTAAACCCTAAACCCTAAACCCTAAACCCTATAAACCCTAAACCCTAAACCAATCAACTGCCACCCACAGTGCCCCAGGGAAGGCTGCCACAGCAGCCACGGCGACTGGCGCCAGTCGCGGTCGCGATGCCGGCAGGACTGGCATCTTGCTTGCTAGGGGATAGGATTAGGGGGACCCTTGGGGATATAGACCCTCTGAATAAGGTCCCTGCTTAAGAGAGCCAGAAGAGGGAAAAGAAGGGATCCCCTTTAAGGGTCTCCCTAATCCTACCTAGGAAACTTTGTGGAGGCCGCTTCTGCTGTTCCCATGATGATTTATCCTTACGCCCACTCTATCCTAAGGGGTTTCCGAATGTGGGGTTCCCTCATTCTTGGCAGAAATCTTCGCATCCCGCCAACAAGCAAGATTCAGAAACCCTTTAAACTACCCTCGAAACCCATATAGTCCACGGCCCTGAAAGGCCCCAAAGCCTCCACTTGTGGGCAGCGGGGTTTGGTTAGGCAGCTCGGTTCTGGCTTCAGATCTAAACGGAAAGCATGCAACGGTTTACGAACAGGGAGGACTACACCAAAACCGCGGGGAATGAATTTTGAGTGTCGGCTTCACGTCCTTCAGATTTTGGTTTTGGGTTCAGCAGAACCTAAGCCCCTACGTGCCCGAACAGGCTCGGGTTGCCTTGAGCCAAGGGGTCCTCTGCTCTGCAAGACTTCGTGTGACGAAGGCACGCAACAATCCATCATACCAAACCCATCCCTACCAGTACATCCTGTCTCCTGCCTTTCCAGTCCTCCATGAGGAGGTCCAGAATGTCCTTGGACCAAGGCCAGGTGGACTACACTCAGGCTTTGCCGTACTTCGCTCACGCGGACTGAATGGGTTTGGAGGGAGCCGAGCTGGCGCTGAAGGCAGTTTGCCTGCCATGAATTTTACAAAAGCTTGGTAAGAACACGGCAAGCATCTGATCTTGGCCATCCAATTGCATCTAAGTCCCAGGAAACAAAACCCTAAACTCATTCAAGCATGCCGAAAGTCAGCCAGAGCGGAGAGCTGGCAGGCCATCAGTCCTCCCCGAAAGCACTGTGGGCCAAAGCATGCGCACAGCCGCACAGCCTAATACCTTGGTGACTCAATGGACCTTAAAGTTGGCAGCGTTCACATGCCACTACAAGCTGTGCGCGGACATGGACGTAAACACCAAGCCCAAGACCCTGAAGCATTGGCCCTCATGCGCCCAAAGACGGGGCGGGATTTTGAGGGGTGCGCAGATACAGAGCTATGACCACCGGTGATCCATACGGTCGTTCTAGCTTAGATCGCTACTCATAACTTGCAACTACATCCATGTGCCTACCCCGCACAAATTCAGTCGCTGTCCTGTGGAGTAGAGCAATATCGCAATCAGCACAGCGACATGACCCTGAGGCGCCACGGTTGGATAAGACTGCCGGCTTGAGGTCTGTAGCGTTCAGGTCGTTTGGGAGCATGTCGGCTTAGCGTTTCTCGGGTCAGGTATACCACATGCTCGACTTCAGCGCCGAAAAGGATCGTCTGTTTGATCCAAATAGCCCAGTCCCTCATAAGAGCCCAGACTCTGGCCCAGACCCTATGATCGCTAGAGGAAACACCAAGAACCCCAACACCCCCATACCCCCATTAAAAAGAAAGGGCCCACGGCAGCCCATTGGGGATTTGCCAGTTTGGAACTCTTTCATAGTATAGAACTGTTCTTAGAATCGAATCAACCCACACAAGCGAAACACAGGGACTTCAGAAAAAGGCCTCGGGGCCGTAGACGCGTCTGCCGAGCTCTGGATAGGAAGCCCGACCTCGGGTTCAGGGGCTTCGGGCTTTGGGGTTGCCTAGGTCCTGTTCGGGAAATTCTGAGCCCAGAGTGTGTTCACCATGTCCTCGGCTTCCTGGTTCTTGTACCAGAATGTATGAATAGATATCCCCCCCCCCCCCCCCTAAATTTCAGCAAAGAATAGCTATAAAGTCGGGGGGTGGGCGGGGGGGGGGGGAAGGGAGGGAAGGATTCAGCATTCTGGGTCGGTCCCACGGTCAGGCCTTGGAGAGCCTATAGGGTTCCTTTCAGGGGCTGGAGAGGGCTTTATTCCTTAACTCTGCTTGCTACTGGTAAGGGTTTAGGGTTTAGGGTTCAGGGTTTGTAAGAACCAACTGGCAACGGTCACGTCGAAGATGCAGCACAGGAACTGGCAGGAGCACTTTGGACAAGGGCCATGCCCTGCACGAAGGACGCCATGCTCTCAGCACCGCGCAAATGAGGCTGCCGTCGAAGGCCGAGAGCTCCAGCAGCATCTGGGGTTGCTACTTAGAAGAACCAACGATGAACTCCAAACTCCAAACCCTGACCCATCCGAAGCCCGTACTTTTTGCGTTGGTGCAAGGTTTGCGGTGCCTACTGGCGCCACAGTGAGTCCGGCTAAGTACAAGGTTATGGACCCTAGTTCTCAGTGACCCAGCTGGGATGCCCATACTGTGGCTGCAGTCCGGCTAGGCTAACGTCTTCTGCGTGACCAACATCAGACTCCAAACGCAACGAAGCCTCTATGGACCCCGACAATGCCTCTGTGTTCCAAGAGTACTACCCTTTTTTGGGGCACCCTAAATTTAAGGACAGAACGGGGGCCGTGCTATACACTAAGGAAGTGACGGTTTAATGACCTGACCTTCCGTTTAGGCTCTCCGAAGCCCTGCATGCTGCTGCGTGCCTTCCAAGTTCTTCGGCACGCCCACATCTGGCAACATGGGCGCACATGGACGAAGGAAGCCCTCTTGGCATATAAGGTTTAGGCTTTCAGAATTCTGGGTGTTGCCTCAGTGGATAGCAGACCGGGCTCCTTCCCAAAAAACAAGCCCTGAGCCACTTCGGCTTTCCGGAACCCTGCAGAATCGCCCGCCACCGTGACAACCGTACCTGCATCTAAACAAAGCTGGCCTTGTGGGCGTGCGAATTTCTGGGTCTCGAAAACACCCGTGAATCAAGTGTGTGTTTCGCGTGGGAGGCGGCTGACGAAAAAGGTGCCTCCGGCTCTTGCTTCTGTAAATGACGGCTTGGGCAAGCACAGGAAACCCAAAGCTCTAAGATCAAAACCCCAAACCCCCAAGGCCTCAACATTGAGTCCGAAATCCTTATCCCTGCAGGCCTTCCTGTTTTTGGCCTTTGGGGTACAGTAACTGCGGAAGCAACAGTGTGCATGTGGGGCTCGGAGCTTGAAGCTGTTCTGGTTTGGGTTTGGCGTAATCAAGGTTCAGGGTTTTGGGACCTTGAACTGCTCTTCGGGTTTGGGTTTAGGGTTTTGCCGTTCAGGATTTTGGGACCTTGAACTGCTCTTAGGGTTTGGGTTTGAAAGTTTGGGTTTGGGGGTTTTAAAGTACAGGGTTCTGGGAGCTTGCTCTGCTCACCGGGGTTTTAGGTCTCGGGTTGGGATTGAGGGAGGTAGTGGTAGGGTCGGAAGAACGCCCCGCCAACCCCAAGCCCGCCGAAGGCTTTGCATCGAAGGACCCCGTAATCGTCGTAGATGATACTCACAAGTTCGTATTTTTGGGGGGGCGGGGTAACCCCTAAACCCCAAACCTCAAACCCCTAAAACCCAAACCCTAAACCCTAAACCCTAAACCCTAAACCCTAAACCCTAAACCCTAAACCCTAAACCCTAAACCCTAAACCCTAAACCCTAAACCCTAAACCCTAAACCCTAAACCCTAAACGGCGGCATGGGCTTGCGCCTCGAGGCTCGGACTGTTAACCCAAACATGCCGGAGTGGCTGTCAGGCCCAGGACCTGGGGGCATCTGCGAGCCTAAAGCCTAAACCCTGAGCCTCTACAGGGTTTCGGGTTAAGGGTTTAGGATTTCGGGTGTGTGTTCTTTTTTTTTTTTTTTTTTTTGGGGGGGGGGGGGGGGGGGGGGGGTGGTACTTTTCTTGAGAGGCAATGGGGCTTGTAGGGTTTATGGGCTGATAGGGATGTGGTGGGCTTGCCGGGGCTTACAGAGCCTTAAAGGGCTCAGAGCCTTCGAGGGTTTCCTAGGCCTATGAGGCTTCGGGCAGCTTGGGCTTTGAAACTTCAAGCTCTGGAGATTCAGAGTTGGGGTTTAGGGGGTTGAAGGGTGTCTGGGAGGTCAGGGTTCAGGGGCTTAGCGCGAGCGTATAATGGAAACAGGGACTGAATGTTGGGCTTATCATGAAGAAAGTAGGCCTCATGCGAACCTACCCCCTCGAAACAGCCAAGAGGCACACACACACAGACAAATACACTATACATCTACATAATATATATATATGTATACGATCTAGCTATCAACCAATCTATTTATATATGCATCATGCTCAATGTTCGTGGGGCTCAGGTCTGAGGGCCCAGGGAGACGTGGCCGCAGAACCCTGGCAAATCTCCACCTCACATCGAACGAGTCTTCGGTTCAGAAATCGCCAAGAAAGCCCTCCAAACCCTGAACCCTAGACCCCTCAACAGCCCAGAGTCATGCTGAAGCCGAGGCGAGCGTGAAGGGAACAAAGCCACTTTGTGCCATGGCCCAGGGTAGCGCCTCGAACTCTGTCGAGGGTTCTCGTTGGGGGGGTCTAGGGTTTGATCCTAGTCGGGGGTGTGGGTCAGGGATCCTGGGATGCAGCATGCGGAGAGACCTGGGCTGAGGGACTGGGACAGTTTCGGGATAAAAGGGTCCAGAGGGTAAACGCTGTCTACAAGGCTGACAAGGTTTGTAATAACTTATAAGGCTCCCAGGTTTATAGGGCTTATTTTGCCTGTGTTTGGCACGGGTTCTGTGTGGAATGCAGGAAAGCAGCTGTAGTCTTCTTACGTTCTCAGAACTTGGCCCCTCTCGAACAAAAAGAAAGTAGGGCAACTATGTCCCCAACACACACATCTCGTACATCTCCTTCAATTTCAACCCTCAACCCCAAACCTCCGTTCATTTCCAACCTACAGGCAGCAGCTGTCAGTGAAGCAGGGCATTGAACTGGTGTATGAGGCTTACATTCTTATAGGGATTTAAAGGTGACAACATCGGTATACTTTTTACTAAGCTCCTGTAGCACCCGGCACTGGCTCACTTGCACTCAAGGCGCCAGTGTGCTGACGCCAAGAAGATTGGCAGATACGTTGA